TGTGACGTCTGCACACGATGGCTCCCCTTTACCTTGTTGCATGAGCGAAGCAGCCTGAAGCCCTCACCAGAAACAGATGCTGGCGCCACGATTATTGTACAGTCTGCAGAATCATGAGCCAAATACACTGATATAGCAGGTAGGAAGAAATTATTTAGGCAGACAGTGAGGGCAACATAATCCTCAGCAGAGCTGCCCTTTTAACAAAAAGTAGTCCAAGAAATTATTTGTTTCTAACAAAGAGCAGCCTGAAAAATTGAGCTGCAAACACATAAGCTGGAAGCTTGCAGGGGAGATGCCGGCAATAACAATGGGCTCCCTGGGGGCCAGGCATATCCAACATGGAGGCTCCATCTTCCCTTTTTTTTGTTACTACATGTACAGTACAGGAATAGGCAACATGGGTGCAGGCCAGGCAGAGAACCTACCTGCATAATAAAAGATTAGGGTAGGGGCTACCAGAAATTCATGCCCTATGCAAATGGCACACCTGGTCCAACCAATCTTTCACGCCCTATGTAAATCAGAAACTGCCTCCTAACCAGGCATGTATAACTCCTCCTGCATTTCATCACGGATCTGGCAACCCATTTCTCTGACCCCTCTCACCAGCAGAGAGCTATTCTCTTTCTTTCGCCTATTAAGCTTTTGCTCTTAACCTCACTCTTTGTGTGTCTGTGTCCTTGATTTCCTTGGCTGTGGGACAACAAACCTCAGGTATCAACCCCCAGACAACAAGACTCCTTCAAAACCCCTTTTTTGATAAGTTACCAAGCCTCAGGTATTTCTTTATAGCAACATAAGGGAATTAAGACAATAGTGTATGGCCCCTTCTCTTGAACTTGGGTGGATCTTTGTGACTACCTCAACTAAATATGATGGAAGTGATGGCACATGACTTCAAAGTCTAGGTCATATTTGGTGATACAACTTGTGCCTGGCTCGCTCTCTTAAGATGCTTACCCTAGGAACCCAGCTACCGTGCTGTGTGGAAGCCCAGGCCACATGGAGAAGCCACATATCATATCCGGGCTGGAAGCCCCAGCTGAGGTCCCAGGTAGCCAGCATCAACTGGCTATGAGGAAATCTTCAAGCTGACTCCAGCCCAGCCATCATCTGACTGCAACCATATGAGGGACCTTGAGTAAGAACTGCCTAGCTGAGCCCAGTCAATGCTCCCTCCCCACTAAACAAAAGATATGAATAATAAATGGCTGGGCCGGGCGCGGTGGCTCAAGCCTGTAATCCCAGCACTTTGGGAGGCCGAAGCGGGTGGATCACGAGGTCAAGAGATTGAGACCATCCTGGTCAACATGGTGAAACCCCGTCTCTACTAAAAACTACAAAAAATTAGCTGGGCATGGTGGCGCATGCCTGTAGTCCCAGCTACTCAGGAGGCTGAGGCAGGAGAATTGCCTGAACCCAGGAGGCGGAGGTTGCGGTGAGCCGAGATCGCGCCATTGCACTCCAGCCTGGGTAACAAGAGTGAAACTCCGTCTCAAAAAATAAAAAAAATAAATAAAAAATAAATGGCTGTTGTTTTATGCCAATAAATATGGGTGGTTTGTCATGCAGCATTGAATCACTGATGCCAGGGCAGAGAATTACCCACAGTCAGCGTCAGCCCACCATGGGGACATGATGCCAATCTTTGTCCCTTTTTGGACCCTCTGCTTCTATCCCCAAGATCTAGGGTCTCAGAGTACAACCCCCCATCACTTGATCCTTCATAGCAACTGAACAATGGCACAGCCATCTCCTTATATGGACATGAGCTCGTCAGGCCCCAGGCTCCCATCCACAGTTGACTCTTACCAAGTATCAGCTCGGCCGGAGGGACCCCCACCCAGGCGGTGCTGAAGGAACTGAAAGGCAGACACCCAGATAGAACAGCAAAGTGGGTCTATGGAGGTGTGATGGTGGGGGTAGCAGCATTCCAAACTGAGAGCCTCAGGAGCTGACAGCATTCCAGGCTGAAGGTCCCGAGCAGAGTCTGATCCACGTATTTATTCTCTCTGAACAGGTGAATCTTATTAACAAACAGGTGTTCTGTGTTTTCTCATAACACAAAATATGCCAAGGAGGCAGCTGGTGCCTGCTTACCACTGATCACAAACAAACTGGAAAGTATTCTCCACGAGGGAGCCTCGGGGGCTGGGGCACGTATCTTAAAGAGTTGTTGTAACCGGTGTATGATATTTATACATTGTCTTGCCACTTTGGAATGCCCCGAGGGGGGCAGCAGCTAGGTTTTCCTTGCCATTGTTCTTCCGAGCAAACAATATATTCTATCACACACTCAGCATTCATCAATATTCATAAACTGAACATTTCTCAACAGATTATTTGGTACTCTAGGCAGGTGCTCATCTCTCAGTTTCCTCTTCTGTAAAATGCAGCATCTGATGATCCCAGCCCTTCCCACTCACACAGAGGCTATGAGGAGCCATCCTTGAAGCTAACATTTAACGTGTTATTGTCAATGTTTGCATTTTAAGATCCAGGTTGGCAACTAGAACCACACAATGTCCTAAAAAGACCTTTCAGGACTATTGTAAGCAGCATTCTATGTTTTAGAAAGGGAAACTGAGATACTAATTGTGAGCACAGTCCTGGTACTGAATAATTGCTTATGAATATGGGGGAGTGTGAGAAGGGAGAAAACAGGCAGTGCTGGTGAAGGATCCACTCTTTTCTCTTGGGAAACCTCATCCCTTGCCCTCCTCCTTCTCTCTGCTCCTATGGTTCCCTGTCCCTGTCTCCCCTTCCCCTTCTGGGTGGCCCCCTGCCCAGGCCTGGAATGGGCACCTGGTGTGAACTCCTGAACTGTGGATGCCAGGTCTGGCTGATTTGCCTCCCTAAAGGCTCACTCCACCACCCTCCCAAGAGCTGTTTCCTTAGGACACTTCCTCCACCTGTTTACACTCAAAGGTATTTGAGAAGAAACCCGTGGCTCTCTAGGATGACTCATTTCCTGGGAGACTTTGGAGCCCTGGGGTGCCAGTTGGCATGATCGCCTGAGCCACTCTTACTGCTGCCCCCAGCACCTCAGCCTTCTCCGTATTCTCCATGTCCAAGACAGGACAAGGGAAACGGAGTCACCAGAGTCACCAGGATCAGGCTTCCTATCTCCCCCATCTTCTCCTCCCCTTTCCATCTGCATTAGACTCCTAGAGCTGCCATCACGAAGTATCATACATTTGGCTTACAACAACAGAAATGTATTCTCTCACAGTTCTGGAAGCCAGAAGTCCAAAACCAAGGCATTGGCAGGGTGGGTTCCTTCTGGAGGCTCTGAGGAAAGTCTCTTCCCTGTTTCTCTCCTAGTTTCTGGTGACCCCTGGCAATCCCAGGTTTTCCGTGGCTTGTAGATGTGTCACTCCAATCTGCATCTGTCTTCGCTGTGTGGTCTCTATGTCTGTCTTCTTCACTTTCTTTGTCTTATAAGGACATTTGATACTGGATTTAGGGGCCACCCTAATCCAGAACTGTCTCAACTCAAGATCCTTAACTTAATTACATCTTATTTTGGAAGGTGCTTCTTCCAGATAAGATCACCTTTTAAGATTCCAGGTGAACATATCTTTCGGGAGGAGGGCCATCATGTAACTCAGAACACCACCTTTGCCCATATATCTGGAATAAGGTAGAAACTCCTCCTAGTTCCTGGAAATTGGCAGTCGACATCGTTAGTAGTTCCTTGAGTAGCCCCTTCCTGTTGATCCTACCCCTGTTTTTGGCTGGGTGGGTTCAACTCCATTAAGAAGAGAGCAGGGTATATGAGGTGGCCTCACTGACATCAGAAAGAGGAAGAAGATAAAGGAGGAAGATAGGTAAAGTATCGAGTGCAGAGGAAAATGACTCAGTTGGTGCTATGCAAATGAGAACCAAGGTTATTCAATGACAACCAATGCTCAGTGGGATGATCCTGGGCCACTGAGAAAACTTCAAGTCAGGGATCAGGCTGACATGGGCCAGGGGTGGGGACATATGTTGGCCTGGAGAACTTATGCACCATTCAAAGAGGGCAGCTAACATTTAGCTAACCCGCCTAATGCTATGACAACAGAAGTCTGGTTGCTAATTTTCTCAAGAGAAGCTGGAAATATGGGGTTCCATGCAAAAGTCCCCAGTTTTTGCATTTATATATTTATTTATTTATTTATTTATTTTGAGACAGAGTCTCAAAATTAGCCACCATGACTGGCTAATTTTTTGGATTTTTAATAGAGATGGAATTTCACTGTGTTAGCCAGGATGGCCTCGATCTCCTAACCTTGTGATCTGCCTGCCTCAGCCTCCCAAAGTGCTGGTATTACAGGTATGAGCCACTGCATCACGTCTCTCTCTCTCTTTTTTTTTTTTTTTAAGACAGTCTGGCCGGGCGCGGTGGCTCAAGCCTGTAATCCCAGCACTTTGGGAGGCCGAGGCGGGTGGATCATGAGGTCAAGATATCGAGACCATCCTGGTCAACATGGTGAAACCCCATCTCTACTAAAAATACAAAAAATTAGCTGGGCATGGTGGTGCGTGCCTGTAATCCCAGCTACTCAGGAGGTTGAGGCAGGAGAATTGCCTGAACCCAGGAGGCGGAGGTTGCGGTGAGCCGAGATCGTGCCATTGCACTCCAGCCTGGGTAACATGAGTGAAACTCCGTCTCAAAAAAAAAAAAAAAGACAGTCTGGCTCTGTTACTAGAGTGATGTGGCACGATCTCAGCTCACGGCAACCTCTGCCTCCAATTTCAAACTATTCTCCTGCCTCAGCCCAGTAAGTAGCTGGGCCTACAGGTGCGTACCAGTACACCCCGCTAATTTTTGTATTTTTAGTAGAGACATGGTTTCACCACATTGACTAGGCTGGTCTCAAACTCCTGACCTCCAGTGATCTACCCGCCTCGGCCTCTCAAAGTGCTGGGATTACAGGCATGAGACACTGCACCTGGACTTGTTTCTGTAGTATGTATGTACATATGTGAATAAGCATGAGTATTTGCGTGTGATGGTGGAATGTGTGAATGAGTATGTGTTTGAAAGTTTGTATGGATGTGTTTTTAGGTGTAAATATGTTCACTGAATGGAACTCCAGGGGAGCAGACACTTTGTCTTGTCCTGTTTTTCATCCTTGCCTCTAGCACACTCAAATGAACATGTCCAGCATGGGGGTTGGAGTGGGGAGCATGACTGCAGGGAGAGTAGCCCAGTGGTTACCAGCAGGGACTCTGGAATCAGACAGCACTGGTGCTTCCTAACTGAGGGCAAACCAACCACTAGGAGCCTCAGTTTTTCCATGCGTAAAATGGGCACCTACCTTATGGGGTAGCATCTATAAGACGGCAGTACCTACAGGGAAGTTCAAAGAGCTTAGAATTGTGTATGGAACATAGGACATAATACCTGTTGACTAGTATCGTTATACTGGGTGTCACTGTCAACACCCAGCAGGCCCAGCAATGTGGCTCATGCCTGTAGTCCCAGTACTTAGGAGGCAGAGGTGGAAGGATTGCTTGAGCCCAGGAGTTTGAGACCAGCCTGGGCAACATAGTGAGACTCTGTCTCATAAATGAATAAATAAATAGGCAAACTGGATGTAGTGATGCGTGCCTGCAGTCCCAGCTACTGGGGAGGCTGAAGCGGGAGGACTGCTTGAGCTCAGGAGTTTGAAGCTACAGTGAGCTCTAATGGTGCCACAGCACTCTGGCCAGGACAAGAGTGACACCCTGCCTCAACAGAACAGAACTAAATAAAAACACCCTGCCAGATGCTTCCAAGGGCTAAAGGCCCTTCAAAACAAGTCCAAAGACCACTTACTAGCAACATTCATTATCCTTTCTGAGCCTTAGTTTCTTCTTATATGGGAGGGAGCGATGAACCTATTTTGTCTCCTCCCGGGACAGCTGGGGGGTTATCATCACAGCACTCCAAATCCCGCCAGTCGAGGGAAGGGTTTTCGCTGCCGCAGTCCGAAGCCAAAGCTGGGAGCAGGGTGCCCTCTCCTGGCACAGTGGAGTCAAAGGCGACTCCAGGCTGCAGGGCACAGGGGGACCTCGGAGTCCAGGGTGCTAGGTGCAAAGGAAGGTGTACAGATGGGCAGCGGGCTGGGGAGGGCACCTTACAGCTCTCCAGTCTTGCTGCGTGGAGCCGCGGGCTCCCTTTCTGTCGACTGAGCTCCTCTTTAGATTTCGCTCCACGGAGGTCTCCTACCCCGCCCCCGCCCCTTCAGACTGGGTCAGCCCCCACCCCTCCCCATTGCATGTCCCTAGGGTGTTCCTTTGGCTTTTCTATCATCTGAGAAATGAGGGGAGGGGAAGAACTCCTGGCTGTGTGACTCCTAAGGTCCCTGGACGAGGTTCTTGGCAAATATTAGAATAAAAGGGGCCTGGAAGCTCAGATGAGCCTGGGAAGTGAACCCAGAAGCCATCCAGCCCCAATGGGGAAGGATCCAGCCTCAGCGGGGGACAGCAGGGAACTGGATTAGGGGACTCCCTGGCTTCACCCCGAGGACAGCCAGGACTGTGGGCTGAAGCCAAGGAGCACCACAGCTTGGGCTCCGGGGCAGACATTTGGGAACATTAATTCATTCCCAAATGTGTGCAGTCTGTGTGTCAGGCACTGAGCTGGACCCTGGGGACACAGCTGCTGGCAAAGCCAGACGGCATCTGTCCCTTCTGGAACCAGTGGGACAGGCACATAATCAGGTGATTTCGTTATAATGATTTGGACCACACCACCTCACACCCCCCTTTTGGGGTGCCTCTAAAGCCCGCGGCTTAGAGAGGGCCCGCGGCTAGGGACGGGCGCTCTCTTGTATTCTTCCAGTCTGGAGGGCTCCTCCTACCGGAGAAACCCGGGAAGGGTGGGCCGGCAGCTCCTGGGGCGCCCGACTCACTGCAGAGCCGCCAGGGCTGAGAAGTATTGAGGGAAAGAGGGGAGCCCTGTCCAGGGTCTCCAGGAAGTCCCCACCTCTACACTCTCCCAGCCCAGCGGGGACTTCGAGGCGGGCCCGGGGGGCCTGGAGGGAGGGGCGTGGGCAAAGAGGGAAAGGTAAGGCCTCATAGGGGTGGAGAAGAGGGGAGGGACTCCCCAGAACTGCATAATCCGGCTCCATCCCCATCAGCGGGCTTCCTCAGCGCCTGCGACCCACTATCCCAACTCGAAGCCTCCAATTAATTCAGAGCCAGACTCGGGACCTTCGGGAGGCAAGCTGGGATGCCGGAGCCTGGGCAGGCCGAAGCTCCGCGGCCAATGGGCAGGTTCCTGCGCCCTCCGCCCCCTCTCCGCCCCTCCGCTCCCTGGACTTAACTGTCTGCAAAAGCAAACACGTAAAAGGCAGGTGCAAAGGTCAGGAGGAGGGACCGGGACCGGCTTCTGCCTGGGGTTTCGAGCTTCCCACGCCTCCCCAGAAGTGCCAGTGGGGCCTGGACTTGGAGAAGGGGCATCGACAGTTATTTGTTCACGGCAGCTTTCCGCAGCGTGGGCGGGGGCCCCCAGGGAAGCCTGGTTAGCAGTTCTTGTACATCCAGCCTGGTATATTTTTTTGCAGGTATGGGCAAATACCTGTTTGTGTGTTCTTTTTCCTTTTACTTAAATAATAGCATACTAGGCACACCGTTCTGCACTTTGCTTTTTGCCCTTGATTACATGTTTTGTCGTTGTTTTTTTTTTTTTCTTTTTTGAGACAGAGTCTCACTCTGTTGCCCAGGCTAGAATGCAGTGGTGCAATCTTGGCTCACTGCAACCTACCGGGTTCAAGCAATTCTCCTGCCTCAACCTCCCGAGTAGTTGGGATTACAGGCTTGTGCCACCATGCCTGGCTAATTTTTGTATTTTTAGTAGAGTCAGGATTTTGCCATGTTGGCTAGGCTGGTCTCCAACTCCTAACTTCAGGTGATCTGCCCACCTCAGCCTTCCAAAGTGCTGGGATTACAGGCAGGAGCCACCATGACTGGCTGTCGTGTTGTTTGTTTGTTTGTTTGTTTGTTTTTAGAATGGAGATGGGGTCTCCATTTGTTGCCCAGGCAGAGTGCGATGGCGCTCAGGCCTCAGGGTTGGGGCACTGCACCCTGCCACTATATCCTGAAGATCATTGTATATTATTAAACAGCTCCTTTAAAAAAAAATGGCCGTCTGGGTATTCCACCATGTGGACTGTACCAGTATTTATTTAAGTCTTCCATGCAAGGACATTTAGACCATTTCCAATCTTTGTTCTCAACGTCATTTTGCTCACATGTGCATACATCTCTGGGATAAATTCCTAGAAATAGAACCGCTTGGTCAAAGGGCATGTGGTTTGTAATCTTGTTAGTTATTACCAGAGTGTTCATTAGAGTTGCGCCAATGTACAATCCCAAAAGCAATGTATGAGGAGGCCTGTTTCCCCACACTCTTACCAATAGTGTGTTATTAAATTGTAAACTTTTTATCCATGTGACAGTAAACTTGAAAACAAAATTAATTATTCCATTTCCCCAAGCCACATGGGGAGCCTGGACTTTCACCCCCGACCTGGCACTAGGAAGTTACCCCTCGCCCTCCATGTTTCTTTTGTTTCCTTCCCCTTCCTTCCTTCCCTTCCTCTCTCCCTCCCTTCCCTCCCTCCTTCCCTCCCTTCCTTCATTTCCTCCCTCCTTCCCTCCCTCCCTCCTTTCTTCCTTCTTCCCTGCTCCTCCTCCTCTCCTTTTTTTTGTTTTAATTTTAAGAGAGGAGGTCTTGCTGTTAATATATTGCTCAGGCTGGTTCTGAATTCCTGGGCTCCAGCGATCCTTCCACCTCAGCCTCACAAGTAGCTGGAATTACAGGGCACACCACAACTCCTGGCTCATTTTCACTATTAATGATAAAATTCAATCCACTAAGAAAACATAGCACTGGGAAATATGTATGCATGAACAACAGAGCTACAAAATATGTGAATAAAAAACTAATAGAAATAGACAAACCTGGCCAGGCACGGTGGCTCATGCCTGTGATCCCAATAGTATGGGAGGCCAAGGCAGGTGGATCACTTGAGGTCAGGAGTTTGAGACCAGCCTGGCCAATATGGTGAAACTCCGTCTCTGCTAAGAATACAAAAATTAGCTCGGCATGGTGGCACATGCGTGTGATCTCAGTTACTTGGGAGACTGAGGCAGGAGAATCGCTTAAACCCAGGAGGTGGAGGGTGCAGTGAGCCGAGATCCCACCACTGCACTCCATCTTGGACAGGAGAGCAAGACTCCATCTCAAAAAAAAATTTTTTTGCTGGGTGCGGTGGCTCATGCTTATAATCCCAGCACTTTAGGAGGCCAAGGAGGTGGATCACCTGAGCTGAGGAGTTCAAGAACAACCTGGCCAACATGGTGAAACCCCATCTCTACTAAAATTATAAAAATTAGCTGGGCATTGTGGTGGGAGCTTGTAATCCCAGCTACTCAGGAGGCTGAGGCAGGAGAATCACTTGAACCAAGGAGGTGGTTGCAGTGAGCTGAGATTGCGTCATTGCACCCCTGGGCAACGGAGCATCTCAAAAAAAAAAAATTGTCAAATTCATTACCCTTCAGAAATTTGGTTTCTAGTCTTGATACTTTCCAAAATTAGGTATAATTATGAATTTCAAATCTTTAAAAAAAAATTTTTTTTTTTGAGACAGAGTCTCTCTCTGTCACCCAGTCTGGAGTGCAGTGGCACAGTCTTGGCTCACTGCAACCTCCACCTCCCAAATTCAAGCGATTGTCCTGTTTCAGCCTCTCAGGTGACTGGGATTACAGGTACGTGCCACTATACCCAGCTAATTTTGTGTTTTTAGTAGAGACAGGGTGTCGCCATGTTGGCCAGGCTGGTCTTGAACTCCTGATCTCAAGTGATCTACCTGTCTCAGCCTCCCAAAGTTCTGGGATTACAGGTGTGAGCCACCATGCCCAGAAAAAAAAATTTTTTTTGAGACGAGGTCTCACTCTCTCGCCCAGACTGGAGTGCAGTGGCATGATCTTCACTCACTGCAACCTCCGCTTCCCAGGCTCAAGCAATCCTCCCACCTCAGCCTCCCAAATAGCTGGGACCACAGGTGTATACCACCAGGACTGCCTAGTTTTTTTGTATTTCTGTTAGAGATGGGGTTTTGCCATGTGGACCAGACTGGTCTCAAACTCCTAGGCTCAGGTGATCTAAATGCCTTGGCCTCCCAAAGTGCTGGGACTACAGGCCCGAGCCATCACACCTGGCCAAATCTTTTAAAATTTAATGGGTACTATTCACAGTAGCAAAGACATAGAGTCAACCTAAATACCCATTAACGGTAGACTAGATAAAGAAAATGTGGTATGTATATACCATGGAATACTATGCGTGCATAAAAAAGAACAAGATCATGTCCTTTGCAGGAACATAGATGGAACTGGAGGCCACATTATCTTTAACAAACTAACACAGGGACAGAAAACCAAATACAGCATGTTCATTTGTAAGTGGAAGCTAAATAATGAAAACACATGAACAGAAACAGGGGAACAATGGACACTGGGGCCTACTTGAAGGAGGAGGGAGAGAGAAGGGAGAGGTTTAGGAAAAAAAAACTGTTGGATACTGTGCTTAGAGCCCGGTGATTAAATAATCTGTACACCAAACCCCTAAGTCACCAGTTACCTATGTACCAAACTGGCACTTGTGCCCCTAACCTAAAATAAAGGTTAAATTTTTTTTATTTAATGGGTGACAAAACTTTGCCATACACTCACCAACAATGAATATCATCATTTTAAATTAACCTTTTATTTTGCGGTAATTGTAGATTCACATGCAACTGTAAGAAAGCACGCAGAAGGGTGGGCACAGTGGCTCAAGCCTATAATCCCAGCACTTTGGGAGCCTGAGGCAGGTGGATCATGAGGTCAGGAGTTCAAGACCAGTCTGGCCAAGATGGTGAAACCCCATCTCTACTAAAAATACAAAAATTAGCCGAGCGTGGTGGCAGGCGTAAGTAATCTCAGCTATTCGGGAGGCTGAGGCAGAAGAATTGCTTGAACCTGGGAGGCAGAGGCTGCAGTGAGCCAAGACTGCACCACTGCACTTCAGCCTGGGTGACAGAGTGAGACTCTATCTCAAAAAAAAAAAAAAAAAGGAATGTTATAGAAATGAAATTATACATTATGTAATCTATTGGAATTGGTTTTTGTCACTCAGCATAACTCTCTAAGGATTCATCCAGGTTGCTGCATTTATCAATAGTTCATTCCTTTTTATTGCTGAGTATTATTTCATGCTATGGCTGTACCAATCTGTTTGTTCATCCATTAATAGAATCTGGCTGCACGCGGTGGCTCATGCCTGTAATCCCAGCACTTTGGGAGGCTGAGGCAGGAGGATGACTTGATGTCAGCAGTTCAAGACCAGTCTGGCCAATATGGTGAAAACCTGTCTCTATTAAAAATACAAAATTAGCCAAGCATGCTAACAAGTGCCTGTAATCCCAGGTACTTGGGAGGCTGAGACACAAGAATGGCTTTGAACCCGGGAGGCAGAGATTGCAGTGAGCGGAGATCGAGCCATTGCACTCCAGCCTGGGCGATATAGTGAGACTCTGTCTCAAAAAAAAGCTGAAACAATAGGAAATTGGCTATATCAATTGCAATATATCCATAGGCTAGAATATTCGTTGCTGGAGAGGCTGCATAAGGCCAGACTAAGATGCCTGGACCTTCTCCTGAGAGCAGCAGTCTCTAAGTTTTGTTCATCTGAACCTAACAGTACACAGATTAGCAAATATCTCATTAGCTGGTATCTTGAAGTACAATATACAGTTAGGATGAGATTCATCATTAATTAGTAAGAGGGCATGTAAATTCATACACACACACACACACACACACACACATACCACACACACATATTTTTTGAGACAGAGTCTTGCTCTATTGCCCAGGCTGGAGTGCAGTGGCACAATCTTGGCTCACTGTAACCTCTGCCTCCTGGGTTCAAGCAATTCCCCTGCCTTAGCCTCCCAAGTAGCTGAGTTTACAGACGTGCACCACCATGCCCAGCTAATTTTTGTATTTTTAGTAGAGATGGGGTTTCATTATGTTGGCCAGGCTGGTCTCAATCTCTTGACCTCAAGTGATCCACCCACCTTGGCCTCCAAAAGTGCTGGGACTACTGGCGTGAGTCACCATGCTGTAAATTCATATCTCAAAGTGTCTTTTTCATCATTTTTTTCTAAAATTTTATTACATTCCTTACAACATGGCTGACAAAGACCAGCATTCATACCAGAAAGAGGAGACCTGTCAGCTGTGTCCTTTTCTACTTTTTTGCTATGCTGATAATTTTCCAAGCATCTGGAATTTGCCATTTCTTTGCAGGAATATTTTGAAGCCATTTGTCTGTTTTGTAGGACAACCTAGTAACATGATCCTCATGTTCAGTTAGACTAACACGACTCACCACACACTGCAGTGCACTGCAGAAGAATGCTGAAAGGGATGTGTGAGGACCCTGATGCCCACCTCCCAGGCGTGGACCCTCATTCCCTCAGGAAGTCTCTGCTTGACACGGGCCCTCATGACAATGGCCCTCAGACAGAGGTCAGATGTACAGATCAAGTGAGGCCAACACATTTATTATATCATAGAAGAGCTCAATTCTTTGTTCATTTTTAGGTTATAAAATGAATTGAGGCTGGGCACGGTGGCTTACTCCTATAATCCCAGCACTTTGGGAGGCCGAGGCGGGAGGATCACCTGAGGTGGGGAGTTCGAGACCAGCCTGACTAACATGGTGAAACCCTGTCTCTAT